CAGCAGGAAAGTGTTTTTTTATACAGATTCTTATGATCTTATCTAAGTTATTAGATCTAACTTAGTTATATCATCTACTATAGGCCAAGCGTCCTAGGCCTACGTGTGAGTGTAAATCTGTGCTGAATTATTAGCCAGCGGGTGAACGCTTTTTCTACAGATTCTTATCTAAATAATTACGTTAATCTATTATTATTATACCTAAGGTTAGATCATCTATATACATAGCTCTAGGCCCCATAGATCTATATAATTAATATACCTTATACAGCTATGAAAATTGAAATGTTATGCTAATAATTGGCAAGCACGAAATTGCATTAGAAAATATTTTTCCCCAATAATTTATAAAAATTGTTAGATGATAGATCTATCATCTATGCATTAGTTTAATACATTTTTAAATTTTTAAGAAATATAATTTTTTGTGTTTTCGCTCCAAATATAACAGGACCCTTTTCTCTAATAATTCATTTCTTTGTTTTTCACCTGTTACTATCCATTTTATTTATTTTTTTGTTTTTTCTACTTTACTTTTTTGAAATATATTTTTTAACGTATTACGTATGGAAGAAATTAATAAAGATTTGAATTTTGTTAAGTTGAAAGATTATAAAACACTTTTTTAATTGAAAGTTTCTCAAGAATCTTAAACACTAACCGTGACGGCCTATTTTTATTTTCTCAGTGATGGGGGGGGGCTTTCTGGCCTCTCCTTTTTTTTAATATCTAATATTTTTACATGCTGCTTGTGAGAGAACCTGTTGTTAAAATATTTGAATCCCACCACTGGTCTATCTGTAAATAACTGTGAAATATCACTTTCTTTTGTAGCAATATAAAAACAGTATTTTCCCTCTGTTATTATTTTTAGCATTAGTTCTTATGTAAAGCAATTAAGCCTGTAACTACCAAGTAAATGGTGTTTTAAACGGTTCTTGAGACATATCAAATACACAGAATAGAACTTACTTTACAATACAGGAGATTTTTTACTTTCTACTAATTTTTATCTGCTAAAAAATGACAAAATGTTTAACTTGTTTGATTAACAGTTTTTAATGTTGAGTGTGACATTATTTATTATGAAGACTGTTTCCCATGTATAATATCTAATTAATTTTATGGGGGAGTGTTCATTAATTATAAAAGCAAAAAATTCATTTAATACATTTAGATCATTCTCAGATAGTTAAAGAATTTTAGAAATGTGTTAAAATATTCATTAAACATATCAGTTTGCTTTGTACTTTATTTAAAAACACTTAAAAGATTTAATTACTTGAAGGAGTATTAAAATACTGACAAACCATTTATTTTTGTTTAAATATCAAACAAGTATTTCTGGTAATTTGGAGTAGAAATGTGATGTTACTTATAGGATTGTAGCAATTACATACTGATGGTAATTTCATAGAAATTTTAGAAGAATTGCTTATATAAAAAGAATAATTCCTTTGGCATTTTTTTTTACACAAGGTTATGAAGGGTATTTATTTGGAACCTTTTTTTTGTCTTTGCAATGATCAGAGTATATTTTTCCATTTACTGTTATGTAACAGTAGATAAAGATTTTTTTAGTTCAAAATAAATATAGATGTATTAATATGATTGCTAAAGTGTCCCATACATTGTGGTAGATATTGATGATCTCATGGCTAATTGACATGGTTGAAGTTGTTGTCATATTATTTATAAAGTTTGTTTTGTACATGATTAGCAAAGTTTTATGACAAATATTTTTAATAGTATGCACCTGTGTTGTGCACAAAAGATGCCATGAATTTGTGGTGACAAAATGCCCTGGAATGAAAGATACAACTAATGAGGAGGTAGGAAATGTTGTAAAATCTTCTTCTTTTGTTTTTCATGATTTGTAGTATAATAGTCTTTAATTTTGTAAAATTTAAAAAAATAGCAATTTAAAACATTTATTCTTTTTGGGTTATGTGATAAGAAATGAAAGGTGCAAACTGACAGCATTCAAAGCTGCTCAATGTTGTTTATATTGTATATAATGTTTTCCACTTCTTTGAAGATCATTAATTATCATTGCTGGCTATTTCTATACACATAAATATTAAAAACTCATAGTTAAATAAGCTACAACCTACACACAACACCCATATGTGAATAATTATTGTACTAATCTCTATTCTTATTCTCATGCCAGTTGATAAATCGTAAAAGCATCACCTGGCTTCTAAAGTTTAGAATTGTTTTTCACAGTTGATGTTTTTATTCTCAAAATTTTCCTGCCATATACTTTATACAGCTTTCAAAATAACTTGAAAGACAAAATAATGATTTTTTTAAACTTAATAAAACAGTTAAAATATTGTAGAATTAGTCTAAATTTAACTTTATAGTTCAAGAATTGCATATTTTTTACTTTATAAAAGAATAAATTTACTTTATGGCTACTAGTTTTCCAGTAATTTAAATGAGCATGATTATGTTGAGAGGTAGAATGACAGATTCAAGACAGTTAAAAAATATTTTAATGTTTTTAATGACTAAATATCATATTTTCTAAACCTCTGTCTTTTGCTTCAGAACTACAACTTGTTTTTCTAATTAAAAAAAACAACTACCTGTGATAATTATTGTTCTTTTTGGCATGTAGGTTGGTAGCCGTTTTAATATCAACGTCCCTCATAGGTTCTTGGTTCATAATTACAAAAGACCAACTTTCTGTGATCATTGTGGTTCTATGCTATATGGACTTTTCAAACAAGGCTTGCAATGTGAAGGTATGAAAATATATTTGTTTTTTATGTTAGCTTTATTTTTGAGTTTTTATGTGCAGTCGTTAAAATCTATATTAACAGTATATTTTTTTTACAATATTTATACACAAAACAAGAACAACAAAAGCATACTATACTGTACTTGAGTGATTGTATATTGCAATTTTAAAATCAAATCAACCATTTTGCTTTCCAGTCCTCTAGCCCCATATCTAAAGATTAAATGTACTCATGTACATTGACAGTTTGCAACATATTTAATAAACAATGAAAAATATAACTTTCTAGCAGTATTTGAAACTTTTTTATACATGAAATACGGAGCTAACAGTAGTGACTTGATAAAATATTATGTTTTTTTTCAAACCTAATTTATATTTATAAAAAGACATTCTTTAAAAAATAATAAATTGTCTCTGAACTAATTTTAAAATAATTACAGATACAACCCTTGTGGTTTTTAATCTCTTTTTTTAAGGAATTATATTAAAACAATATAGGTTTGTGCTATATTGCAATGCCCATAATCTGGTTTCTGTTGTGCAATTAAATGATATACAATAAATACTTATGCTATGAAAATAACTTGCCATTGGTGCCCTGTTATTTGTTTATAAAGCAGATTATCTCTGTAGAGAAATTACAAAAAGATTTTAATTAATGTTTAGTTTTAGAATTTTAAAATCATTTGAATATAAGTTCATAATAACAAATATTAAGTGCTGTATACTTATTTTTACATATGAAACATCTAAGCTGCATATTCAGGGGTATGAATTGAAAAAAAAATGTTGTTTGTATTTTTACAGCTTGTAAAATGAATGTTCACAAGCGGTGCCACAAGAATGTGGCCAATAATTGTGGTATAAATCCAAAGCAATTGGCTGAGATTCTTTGTGCAATGGGAATCTCTTGTGATAAGTTAGCCAAAAGGAAAAAGAAGGTAAATATAGTTTCACTGACCAAGTTAAGGAAAAGTTTACCATGTCATATGACATACATTAACAAGAACCATAGAAAAATTATTTTTTTATTTTACACGTTCTTTTTTTTTTAGCCTCTAACAATCTTTAGGGTGTACAAAAAGTCTGGAACCATAGGCACTTCAATGAATTTTACAGAATGTGTTCCACCTGCTGTCCTTTTAATTCAAAATACGTTTGTATTAGCAGCAGGATTAACTCATCCTTTTCACGCTTTGACAGCACCATGATCAGTCAAGTATCTGAAATTAAGAAAATCTGTAAATCACTTTTTGGACACTCTGTAGTGAAATTTGTTATTAAATTTTTGTATCTTTAGTAAAATGTTAAAAATATTTGTATAAATAGAAGATCTGTTATAACAAATATTTATCTAACTAGCTAGGTTAGAATTGCATCAATACCACACATACTAGTAACTTATTATTTTCAGTGTATCTGAAGCAATAATCATGTTATATAAATATATCTTATTTCTTTATGATATATTTTGTTTGCTACATGCTTTAAATATACTATCTTTGACCTGGAAGTGAGGTGGATGTATATTAAAAAAGGACTTCATGGGAATTTAAGTCAGTTTATTGAAATAGAAACAATGTTTTATGTATCAAACTGATATTTTAAACTGGTGTTTTTTAAGGAGGATTCCATCTTCCACAGTAAAATATTTATGAATAGCAGTGTATTTTTACATTCTTTACAATTAGTTTTTTTCTTTTCCAGACATCAATCAGTGAAACTCAAAATAGATTAATGCGACCAGGAGCAGAGGGCTCCTTATCTTCTACTTGTGATCAGTTTGAAGTACAGACAGGTAATTTTGTTTTTCAATTAGTCTTTCTGAAAAGGTAAGTTTTGTTTAAATATCTACTATTGTGAAATTTATTGTATAGGGGTAGTTAAAAAGATAAGATTTCCTCTTCTTACAGCCAATAGCAGTGCCCCACCTTTAGACATGCAGGTAGCTGCTGAAGAGCTTAAAAGACTTTGTTTTGACATGCAGCAAAGTACATTGCTTACTGAAGGTGAGCAAGGACCACAAAACCTTGAGTCAACAACTCAGTCTTATAGCACAGAAGAAAGAGATTCTCAAAAGTTTGGACTCAGTGACTTCAATTTCTTAAAGGTTTTGGGCAAGGGTAATTTTGGAAAGGTAAGCACATGATTTTTGTACATAAAAGACCACACATGTAAAAACTTGAGGAGTTTTAACTTAGTCATAATGTGATATGTAATATTAGTTTGTTAAAGTGGGGGTAGTTACCAAAAAGTATATCATGGAAATTTCACAACCAAATATAGATTTGCTTGTGTATGTAAGTGATGAATATGACATTATTGAGAAAGGTGGCTATAATTATGAATCATACCAAATTCATGATAAAATGCATGTTTATCTTTGACTTTCTTGTTAAAAAAAAGTGAGTTTTTGCCAAGTTAGCCAACAATTATTGACCTTGAAGGAAGAGATTTTCCTTTATAACCTACCTTTCATTAATTTTAGTTAGTACATCTGAAGATAGTGTAAAATCAAAACTAAATATGTGTGGATTTTTATGGAAATGTTTAATGAAAATTGTATTTCTAAACTTTATTTCAAAATTATAAACTTGAAAAAAATCTGTATTCAAAATGAAATGAAATTGTCAATAAATCCTAAGCAATTTATACAACAAAAATGTTTTTGAGCTGATGAAAAAGCTCTAAGTGGTACCTTGTACAGTGTAAAAATGGACTCTTAAGAATCATTGTTTTGAATTTTAAGTTATATAATAAAGATGTATGAATAACAATACATTTTATTATGTAACAGAAATGCTGAACTAACTTTAGGTATTGGTATATAGTGTTATTTTTACTCTGTGTTCAGAGAAAGTTCATTGATGCTCTATGTATTTGTCAATGTATGAATTCTGATTAATTTTAAATATGAAGTAATAAAAAAAAAATTCACTTTCTTTGACAGAAAGATATACATTTTTTAAGAGAACATTACCACTTAAGTTCATGTAACATGCTCAACTGTCAAGATTTATTTTTACATTTGTTTAGTCAAAAAGTATGTTTCTGTTACTTATAAACATCACCTCTTTTACATTATTATAAAATTTTATTTGTATGCCTGAAGTTACATGGCATAATACAACCCTAAAAAAAATAAGGCTAAACAAATTATCATCTGCCACACAAGCCAACCCAGCATCTTTTAGTACTGAGCCTAGGATGGTCAACAGTGGGGTCATTCCAGAAACTGGGGATTTAGGGTTATTTCATTAGATCTTAATGAATGAATCTCAGCACAACTTCAAAAAAAAAAAATCTAAATATTAATGAAAATATGATATGATGAAATCTATATGGATTATACTATTGTGATATCATACTGGTAATTATACCATCCTTCTTATATTTACCTTCGTTTTAGAAATGGCATTTTTAATTTGAAAATTGCCAGGGACATCATCTTGTAATACATCATATATCTGCTCCAACTTCAACACTGCATCTGTGGGCTTTAATGTGCTGTTATTTTCACAAAATATTGAAACTAATGATCTCTTACATATGATTCAAAAACTATTTTTGAAGATAATGATACTATTATGCCTATTTTTTATGTTTTGCTGTCAATGCAGTAATCATTTGACAAATCTCCAATTTAGCTGGTATGTCAAATTGATTGGGATATCTTCTAATAAGTTATTCTAACCTGGAACCACAGTTTAGTTTAATTGCTACACTTAAGCAATCACATTCACAACCACATCGAGAACATTTTAAGCATGTTTCATTGTACATTGTTGTACTTTACATCTACAAGTTAACTTCTTCTTGGTCCCGGGTCTGGTCCAATGACTTAGACCTCCAAAATAGTGCCAAACATTTTCTTTTTCTCTAATCAAAACAGCCCAAACCTTTTCAGTATGACTTTTTTTTTAAATCATATCCAAATGCCGGAGTGGCGTGTGTGGCAGTTGTTAAAAGTTACCTCATCTTTAGTGAATTTCATCTTGGATCTTGAGAAATTTCAACTAAGGAAGAACTTTAAAGTTTACTTAAGATTTTTATTTCTGTAACTGAACAGTCACTTTTATTAAGAAACAGCAGTAAATGGTTGGTTGTAAAGTTTAAATAAAAAGTATGCTCTGATGAATTATTAAAATTTGTTTTTGTCAGGTATTAGTAACTAATGAAAAATATTCAGATTTTACAAATTATAAAAAAATGAAAAACAAGAATTTCTGTTTGAATTCCTATATCAGGTTCTATTAGCCGAAAGGAAGGGAACTGATGAAGTCTATGCTATCAAGATCTTAAAGAAATATGTTATCTTACAAGATGATGATGTGGAATGCACAATGGCAGAGAAGCGAGTTTTAACACTTGCAGCTTGTCATCCTTTTTTGACAGCTCTGTATTGTAGTTTTCAAACTGAGGTGAGTTTATTTTATAAAATATAATATTACTGATACAATTCCTTGACCATTGTTAAAATAAATTGGGAAGATTGTACAGGAATTAGAAACTATAACTTATTCTGAGTCCTGACATAGTATTTCCACATGAAACACAGATACAGGGGTTGTATGTATGATACCGAAAGAGAGCCATGCACTCTTCAAAACATGGGCAGCATGATCAACTAGTACTGCTTAACGTAGTAAAATTAAAAATTTCATGTTATGACACTAAAAGAAATATGCTCATGATAGTAAAGAACACCTAGGATTCAAAATGTTTGGTAAGTCACATTGAACAAAAAAGCTGATAAAACCCTATCACTTTATTTGATCTCTGTATTTTTTCAAAATGTAATTTATTTTAACATTTTGGATTTGATATTAGTAGTATAGTATATTATTTTTATTATATTAAATGGGGAAAAAAATAAAACTAATATATTTCTCCATAAAAATGAATTTGGCCTGTTTTATAATCAGCATTAATGACTGAATTAAAAATGTTCCTGGAACTTACAGAATTTTCTTAGTATAGATAAAGTTTATTGATGGTATTAGTGTTGTTACATTAAATCAAAACTTCTTAGTAGGTTTTGGTAGTGTTTTGTGCATCTTGGGAATCTTCTAAAGATAGAAAATTGCCTGACATATTCTTTTTTGCATAACCTTTCAGTCTATGCTGAGGCCTACGTTAGGTCAATGTTTCTGGGGTAATGTGATTTTCCTAAGTAGATGATTGGAGCATGGTCCTTACAGAGAGCTGTGTTTGTTTCGTCTTCATTATTGATTGTGTAGCATAGTCCTAGAAGAGAACTGTTTGGTTGGGTGTTTCCTGTTGTTTATTTAGCTTGGTCCTGGTTGGAGCTTGGCTGTGATTTACTTAAGTATAGGGTTCTAATGTTTGATAGTTTGATAGTATGTGTTGGAGGCTAGTTTTCAGGCTTGTATATCACTTGCTTCTTTGATTTTCCATGTTTTTATGTGTCTAAAACTTTTACTTTGTCCTTTTGTAGGGTGTGTTTAATTTCTTAGGTATGCTGTGCTATGAACAATTTTATATATAAGAGTCTCAATGCTCTGTGTTCTTTCATTCTTTGTCTATTGGCTTTATCCATTTTTTTCATAACTGTTCACAAAAACAAGCTACCTTATAGATCAGGTGTTTCTTTTGTTGATTTTCTTATGGTTGTTTGACTTTCATCAGCAGGTTTTTGAGTGTGGGTCCTGTTTTAGAGGAAGACTTGATTGTTGAATTTTCAGCAAATTTCCTGATTTTGTAGTTTAGTTTCAGGATGTGTGTTAAACTGGTAGCAATGATTGTGGGATTTTGAATGCTATATGAAGCGATTTTTATTTATTTTTTTATTTGAATTGATAAAATTACAGCCATGAAGGATAAATAACCATAAAAAATTATTTACACATGTATTAAATCAGATATTCAGAAATTATTAAATACATAGTTACACATTTTTATTTCAAGTAACTTAATATTGGAGGTTGACCAATCATCAATTTAGTATAACTGGTGCCAACTAATTAAAACTTACAACTCAAAACTGAACTACTCTTAGTGAATAGTCTATGAAATTTTGTTGGTAACTATTGGATTTTAGAACTTGTTTGAGGGTTTTTGTTTCTTTTGCCATTTGAGAATTGTTACAGATTTTCTTTGCTCTGTATAAATGGTTTTCCAAGCAAGACTGAAAATTTTAGCATTATTTTGTGATTTTTATACTGTTGCCTTTTAATATGTTGTTTGGAGCCTTGTGAGAATTTTCTACTTTGTTTTTCTCATGTTATGATTATATAGCTTTTAGATAATCCTGCATGCTTCTAAGCTGAATTTTATTGTACTTGTAGGATCGACTGTTTTTTGTCATGGAGTATGTTAATGGAGGTGATTTGATGTTCCAAATTCAAAGGGCTAGAAAATTTGATGAACCTCGTGCAAGATTCTATGCAGCAGAAGTCACACTTGCCCTAATGTTTCTACACAAACGAGGAGTGATATACAGGTTAAAAGATTTTGTTGTAAACTTTTTCCTGCTGAAACACTTTTTATTAGTTACATTTATTTTAATAATTATTTTGATATCTTTAATTTTTATATGACTGTTTTTACATGTTTTGGCCTTCATATAACTATTGTACTAATGATCAATATTATTTCAATATATAGATTTATTAAGTTTCACATTTCATAGTTACTTAACTTAACATCAAGAGTGTTGTTGTAATTTTTTTCAAAAGCTCACTAGCTGTTATTTACAAAGAAATTAGACACACAAAATTTTAAACAATTCTGATATGCTACTTACCTCTTACAAAATTAGCTATTCTCGTTCAGTGCTGCCTTCTATATTCGAACTTTTTATTTATGCATACCACAAGCCTTCTGCTCCCCCCTATTGGAATTGATATATTCCAACATGTCTCTCATGCAAATCAGCATGCGTCAGCTCCTAACCAATAGGAGAATGATGTGCTCTCATGACACATGTGACCTCCTCTACCGAACTATTTTGGCAGCGTTTGAGTTTAGATGTGCTCTTTTCTGTGCTTAATGTTTCAGGTTTTCCTCACAATGTGACTATTTTTTACTTAATTTGCTTTCATTCAACCCAATTAATATATTAGTAATTATCAGAATTCTAGTCACTTTATTTCTGCACTCAAAGTTGGTGAGCCTTTTCTGTGCATTGAATTCCAAAGTTAACATTACTACTTTGAGGGTTACACCAGCGACTAGCGTTTTTTCTGAGGCCACAGGTGCGGGCAACCCAACAGTGGATTTATCTGCTTTTATACGTCGAGAGATTGTACATTACATGGGCCAACTTTTGTCCCCAGACATTGCCCAGGCTCCTTCTGAGCCGGCTGAGCCTGTGCAGGTTGATGAGGACTTTGATCGTCTTTTTCTGCCTACAGAGTCTGCTGTTCTTTCTCATTTCCAACCTGAGGAATCTCCTAGGCCTAATTTGGATTTTCTGGATTTTGTGTTGCAGGTTTGTGATGTTTTATCCCTTACACTTATTTCTTATTCACCTTCACCTCATCCTTCCTTATTGCATGAACAATCTTCCCAACTCTTTTTGATTTTTCCTCCCTCCCCTGATATTTGGGTTCATGCTGATCAATTTGCCTTGCAATTGAGTGAGGGGATTAGCCTGCTGCCACCCCCCGAGGTCGCCGTTTCTTACCATCGGGCAGATTATTCATTTTTAGACCAACAGTTGTTAGGTTCCTTATTACCTATTGGGGGTGGGGGGGGGCAGCTTCAAAATCAAATGTTAGTCTTACCCATGCCCAATATTCTTACCAACCTCTTACTGTATCTTTCTTCCATACGCCTCTTATCTGAGGCTCTCCACAGAAATCCTGAGGGGTTTTATGCAGGTACCCTGGCCCTTCACTCCTCCACTTTAGCCCGCACATCATCTTTGGCTCTGGCATTACGTACATGGTTTCTTTGTTGTTGGGACCTTATAAGTCGTGATGCCATTTTGGCTTGGATTTGTTTATCCTCGACATATCTCAGGGACTTATGTATGACCCCATTTCTGAGACATTACATCTTTGATATGGTCCTCCAACAATCCACCCTTACAAATATTGTAGCCCGTTTGTCTCAGTCAGAGCCTCATATGCCTCCAATTCCTGTTTCCCATCCTTCCCCTTCCCAACCTTTACCCATTCCTTCTACTCGGGGTACTTTTTCTCATAGCCTTTCTCGATGACGTATCCCCCATCGCCAATAGCTCCGGTAACTAACCATTAGGTTTGGGTCCAGTGGGAGCGTGACTGTTAAAGTTTCTTGATCACTGGTATCCCTTCATCGATGATCAATGGGTGTTTCAAGATCTGTCAAAAGAATTCATTGTTCAGATTTTTCCCCACCTCCAGTTTCTCTTTACCTCATTTCCTACACTCCTCCTCTAGATTCCGTGACCAGCCAGCGTCTGTTAGAAGTGGTTCAGGAATTTCTCTTGCAGCAAGCAATCAGAACTGTTCCCCATCCTTCCAGGGGATTTTTTATGCCTTTTTGCTGTCTCCAAGAAAAACTGGGGATTGATGGCTGGTAATCGATTTATTTCACCTCAACTGCTTCATATCACTACCCAAGTTCACCTTGGAGTCTTTTCTTACTCTAAGATGGGCATTTTCTCCAGGGTTGTGGATGACAAAAATGGATGTATCCAACACTTACCTACACATAGTCTTGTCCTTATCTTCGGTTTGTCCATCTCAGGGTGGTTTACCAATTTTGGGCCCTCCCCTTTGGTCTTGCCTTAGCACCTTACATTTTTGTCAAATAGTCTGGGCTTTTGCACATCATCTCCATGTTCTGGGGCTGCGATTTCATTATTGTTTGGACAACTGGCTCATTCCAAACAGGAATCTGCCAATCATACTTTCTGTGGCAACTCAGGTGGGCTAGTTGATCAAATTGGAGAAGTCCTTCCTCATACCCACTCAATATCTTGTCATTTGGGGGTCTTTTTTGACGTGAATATCAGTCAAACACTGCCTTCTCCTTTACGACTTCATTCAATGGAACTTTTAGTTCACCACGCCCTCTCAGATCAGTTACTTACTGCTCGCGAAGTGCTATTGCTTTTGAGGATGTGGTCTTCCATGACAGCACTGGTCCCTCTTGGTCGTGCCCATATGAGTTCCCTTCAGTGGGCACTTCACAAATGATGGAATCTTGCTTAGGATCATCTTTCCACCCCCATTTCCCTTCCTCCTTCCCTGCAAGACGATTTGCATTGGTGGCTGGGCAAACCCATACATCAGTGGGCATGCTGCTTCCTCCCCTCATCCAGATCTACATCTTTTCACAGATGAATCCCTTCAGAGATGGGGGGCATGGGTCAATCACCAGGAAGCTTCAGGCCATTGATCTGTGGAGGAAAGATCTTTGCATATCAGTGCTCTTGTGTCTGGTGATGGTTCATTCAAACAATTTTATGCTGGTGTAATATATCAACCACCAAGGGGGCACCGGGTCCAGAGATGTATGTTTTCAGATGTTGGATCTATTATACTTGGCTCACGCATATCACATTTGCATTATAGCATGTCATGTGCCGGGTACTTTCAATATGGTTGTGGATCATCTTTCGCACCCTAATTGGATATATTCCATAGAGTGGGAATTAGCTCCCCTCATTTTCAGGTATCTTTGCTATCGGTGGGGTTCTCCCCACGTGAAAGCCTTTGCTACAGGCCTCAACACCTAGTTACATCTCTATTAGTCATCTTTACCTCATTCTCAGGCTCTGGAAGTTGATGCTTTCAGCCAGGATTGGTCACACAAGTATCTTAATGCGTACCCACCCATTTGATTATTTCATCAGGTGATTTCTTTTGTCCACTCCATTCCTTGTTGAGTCTTTCTGATTGCTCCCTTATTGGTAGGTTCAGCCTTGGTTTCCAAGGTTATAGAAAATGCTCCTCTCTCCCTCTGACCCTCTTCCGCTTTTTCCCTCCCTTCTTCATCAACCTCAATCACATATCCTACATCCCAACTTTCATTCCCAACTTTGTCCGGTCCTTGGTGAGATGATTCGTTTACACACATCGAGTTGTTTCCTTGTTAGATAGTTCCATCCATCCATCTTCCATGGAGGTGACCAATGCAAATGGAAGGTATTCCACTGTTGGTCTACCATTAGGGTGTTTCCCATCAACAAAGCCTACCATGGCCTGTGTAGAATAATTTCTCACCTGGCTGTTCAATCGTGGGTCTTCAGTCTCCTTACTTTCTGGATATTGGGTGGCCTTATCCCATTCCTTTTGTTCTTCCCGATACCTTAAGGTTTTTACTTCCTGGTTCTTACCATGCTCATGCGTTCCTTCTGGATATATCGCCCTCCCAGGCATCCTGCTCTTCTGGATTGGGAAATTAATTTGATCCTACATTTGAACCTCTTTCCTCATGTTCCATGTTTCATCTTTCCCTTAAAATATATTTCCTTCTTCTCTTAGCCTGTGGACATTGAAGGTCGTATTTCTTTGACATTGACGTTTCATGTACCCTTTATCACCCTACCAGTCTTCTCCTGCATCTTGATCATTCCTTTCTTCCGAATACCTCAGCAACTTGGGAGAGTGGTTCCTTCTTTTCTCCTATTTTTCTTCCTTCTATTTCCCATCTTTACTCTTGACAGGATCCGGATATGCTTCTGTGTCTGGTCAGGGATCTTCATAGTTATGTAGCTCGTACTTCTACCTTTTGGGGTACACGTTCCTGTCTCTTTATCCCCTTGCAATCCCTCTCCCTTCCTGATATTTCACCTTCTACCATTATCAATTGGGTCTGCCTTTTGGTTTGATTTGCCTATTCTTCTCTACCTTCTTCCTCCTGGACTTTGTTCCAGGTGTCCTCCCATCAGATCCGACTCTTCACTTTTTCCTTAGCTTCTCGTCTTCGTCATCCATTGGAAGAGATTCTGCAATCCAGCATGTGGACCACTCCAAGTATGTTCATCTCCCTCTATCTCCATCATATCGTAGTTTCCTATTCGTCGGAGTTTCATCTACCACCTTTGGCCATTTTTCAGACTTTGGTGTGATTCTAACAGGTAAGTTTTTCTTCATACTTTCTTTCTTTCCTGGGCCTTTATGTACTTTATATCACATAGATCCTGCTCCGTAGCAAGTGGTGCCTGAACAGGTGTTCCTTAACTCTAAATCTGCACTGTACGGCCTTGTTGACTCCCGCTTTATCTTCCATGGCTTCGTACTCTCACCGTCGAGATGAGATGTTCCATAAGATCACTTGATGGTGAATAACCTCACTATATTCTGCATCATAAGCATAACCATCCCAGACCGGGCCACCCATGGACTGCATTGCTAAAGCAGAAGGGGATTGCTACACATCCATGAGAGTGAATAAGTCGGTATGGTCTGCTTTTCAAAATAAGGTTCCGTGGTCACCCATTGCACTGTCTCTGGTGGTAATCTTCCTCTGGACTCTCCACCTCATTGTCACCCTCCTTTCTTTGAGTGAAGTAAGGAATTTCTTGCCACTGTCCAGTTCCATCCCGCTGGGGTGGTTGACCATGGAGGCACCCTGCTGAATGAGTTCCACACAATAATCATTCATTTACAGAGTAAGGTGGTGGTGTTCTCTGGATGTAGATGATGTAATATCATCCTATTTGTGATAATCAATACCATAGAGTGAGATGTCAGAATGCAGTTCACCCCTTTTATTTGAAGCTCTCATCCTACCTTTGCATGGATGTTGGTACTCTACGAGGAGGTTTTGGATTAGAGTGAACCATTCAACATAAGTTCTCACACAGGTTTGGATTGTCTATCTTCCTCCCTTGATTTCCTCCGTCTGTGTTGTGGGTCACAGCAGTGGTATGTGGGATTGTTACGGTTCTGTCCTTGACTATCCCTCGTTCTCTTCTTACAGGGATGTTATTGCCATTGAATGGTCCCAGCTTGTACTGCAGATGAGGGAGTTGATTCCATGTGATAGACATCCTTTTGATACTAGATGTCAATTTCCTGGATTGATAGCTCAGAATTAATACTCGTGTCACACCCAGGAATCAGTGTGGGTTATAATCTCCGGTTCTTAGGTTTTAGGTGAAGATGGTATGATCCTCATCCTACCCTTGCATAGATGTCAGTACCCCGCAAGGATTGTTTGGATGTAGTTGACTTGCAGAGTATGGTCTGCCACGGCCTAGCCACTCTACACCCAAGGGCACATCCTTTTTTACCCACTTTTATCTTGTGGGATTGAATTACAATATCTTTCTCTGGTTAGGATCACTTTCCTACTACATTCTCTCCCACTCACATGTGCTCCTCTCATTTTATGCCCTTATATCTTGCACATTCCATACATGAGCAAAGAGTATACCTGCTCAGAAGTGATGCGGTTCTCTTCTTCTAATTTTCAGATCTTGGATCTCTCATTTTCAGGGGTATCTTTCGAAGGCTTTGGGGGGGGGGGTACTTCTGTCATTCCCTCGCCCAGGTTCCTCCTCCTCCTTGATGTGGGATTCTAGCTAATTTTGTGAGGAGAGGTAAGTACCGTAAGTAACAATACACTAATTGTTGGTAAAGAGAAAGGCAAATTAAAATATAAAATAAAATTTAATAAGAATTATAAATGATTACCACAACTTATTGTATCATATGGCAATGTTGCAGTATTATCTTTAGTATTTATTGAACACTTTTGAATTTTTTTTTTTTGTAAATATTCATTAAATTGATCATTAAGATTGTGTCACAAGTGTAAGAAGTGATACCCTCATAAACCCAAGAACAAGATGTTTTCAATAAATATGCATTTAGGTAATTGTAGAGTGAGATTAACTTTTTTCTTGTACCAATTTGTAGGGATCTCAAATTAGACAATATAATGCTAGATAGTGATGGACATTGTAAGATTGCTGATTTTGGAATGTGTAAGGAGGGAATACTTGCTTGCAGAACAACGACAACTTTTTGTGGAACTCCAGACTATATTGCTCCAGAGGTGGGTTTAAAAAAAAAGTATGAAGTGTGACAGTAAGAGAAATAGTTTTCAAAACAAGGCTAATATGACAGTCTGCTCTGCCCAACTTTATCAGTGATCATTACTGGGTTACTATCATATTTTTGTGTAAGCATGAAATAATCAAGTTTCACTCTACAGAGTTATACATTAAACTGCCTTCTTTTTTTCACTGTGTATAGAAAACGTGTGTTTAAATGCGGTTATTAAATGTCCTGAAATGTTTTCTTTTGTTTTCATTATATTAATAGTTTAAATGTAAATGTACAATTTTACCAAGTTTATCTCTTTATCCTGCATTTTGAAATTTACAATTGACGTACATTTCAGCAATAGTTTTTAAGTAAAGGAAAAAGGACAATAGTAATTAATAAAATTAAAGTTTGGTTTATTTTGCCAATATGTGGTCTAAAGTTAAAGTCATGATTCATTAGCTAGTGTTACCTTATAGGTTTTATTATATTTAATGGAGGTGTTCATATTAAAAGCAAACATTCTTCCAGTTTTTTATTCTGATACTTCTTTCACGCAAAGCTTTCTCGATATTCTTTCTGCCCTCTAAGCATTGCTAAGAAAATTTTTCTCATGTGTTTGGCTGGTGATTTCTTCTCCTTTTCAACCTGACTATGTTGCTGAATAAGAATACAATCAAGGAGAAGACAATTTGAACCTTCTTATTTTGGTTTATTGCACTCAACACCTCTTCAGGAGATTTTACCTTCCATACCCTTTTTTACAGCTGGTTATTTAGGTCAACACATATTCATTTTTTTCTCTATGTTCAAGACAAGAGTGATTTTGCTAGTTTTCTTTTTTCTGCTCCTGTTGCTGTGTCTCCACTCATTCACTTTGGTGGAGGTTTGTTCTTCTCCCCCTTTTTTCCTATTGCTTCCAGATCTCCCGGTAGGTTGGTGGTAAGTTTTTTACTTTCACACTTCGCACCTGGTTGGGATACCCATGGTAGGCTCAGCTCAATTGCCCTTTGTGTGGCTTTGTCCTTCTTCACACATGGGAGAATTAAATATTTCATGTCATTAGTGCTCGGATTATGGTAAATTAGATATTTATGTGTATTTTGTCGTCTAAGTTAACTTAGAATTATTCGAAGTTACATATTGATCATTACTTTGTTTTTTAGGTAATTTTAGTTGGTTTACACATTCATTATTATGACATACTTTGTTAACTAGGTATGTTTAGATAGTTTGTTCTTTACATATCCTTCTCACTAGTAACATCTGATTTTTTGTTCTATCTGAATAACTTTTTTTTCTCGTCATTGTTAAATATGTGCTTTATAATTCTACTTCTCATCAGTGTAGGACTTAATTTTTTGCATTGCTACATTGCTGATGTGTTTGTTTCTTTCCTGTTCATAGGGCTGAGATTTGCTTTGGCTCCATTTCATACATTCTTCATACTAGAAACCAATTTTTATCCTCATACTCTATAATTCGGGGTTCTTTCCCACAGTACCCACATCTACGATAGTTGTTCATAGCTAGAATTTGAGTATTCCAGTTTAGGGCACTACTATTTGGACTAATCTCAGCTCCTTATATGTTTTGTACAGTGGTAAGAACTTTACCCGATATCTTCACTCGATGGGTCTTCACACTCATCATTACATGTATGACTGGCTCCTGCTTGCTTCTTCCCATTCACAGACCAGAGACCACACATGTCTGCTTCTACAAGCAACAGCATGGGTGGAATTTTTGATAAAGGTGGAGAAGTCCATTCTTACCCCCACTCAATACCTTGTTCATTTTTTTGTTTAATTCCAACTTCATTCAGGCCCAGCCTTTTTGTCTTTGGGATATGGAGCAAGCAGTCCACTTGGCCCTCACCTCACATTCTCTCTAGAGGTTCTATCTCCTTTGGAGATGTGGGTTTCCTCGGAAGCTCTCATTCCCATGAATTGAACTCGTGTGTTCCCTTCAGTGGACACTCCTTGATTAGTGGAACTTCTACTCGGGTCTCTTGGACCACTCTTTTTACCCTTCCTTCCCCAATCAGGGGTGACCTGGCTTGATGGCTAGACAGGGACGAGACCACGGCGGGGGGTTTTGCTTTCTTCACCTCATCTAGATTTGCATCTATTCTCTGACACAACTTTAAGGGGTTGAGGTGTTTACCTTGGCTTTCAGTAGATTTCCAGTCTCTGGTCGGTCGAGGAGTCTCCTCTCCATATCAACGTTCTTAAATTAATGATGGTTACTCAAGCATTGTCCCACTTCCTTTCTCTCCTGATGAGGAAAGTGGTTTTGGTACACTCCAACAACTCCACAGTGATCACTTATGTCACCAAAAAAAAAGGGGTACCAAATCCAGGTGTGTGTGTTTTCAGATTCTGGAACTTCTTCTCTGGGTCCACAATCACCACATGGTGGCCTTAGCTTGCCATGTCAGGGCTCATGTTTAACTTTTTTTATCTATATATAGATATATTTTTTAGACCGAAATACAGCTTAACCCTCTCAACACGGGGGTCAGTCATTTTGACGGAGTCACGTGACATTTCATACTCGTTTAAGAGTCTGTATAAATTTAATACTTATAACTTTCAATATATTGGGTATACCTTCACAAAATTTGGCAGTCTTTCAGTTAATATTACAAGTCATTCACATACAAAAAGTCATATTTCTTAGTGAAGTATTTTTAATAAACTAAAATAAAGATTTTTCCATGAATATATTCAGTATTTGTTTTAAATAGTCCATGTGCAAAGTAATTTTCAAGTTAAAATTAAAAATACTTTTCATCATCTCAAAAAGCTCAAATTTCTTTGTGTAATCCCTAAAACCTCATAAATGCATTTCAAATATTTTTTTTCACTAAATCCTTATGGTTTATATGTTATTTTCTCTACCCTATCTCAAAACAGGATCGGTCAATTCGACTGACTTCATAACCACCAAAAAAAAAATCGAAATAAACCTAAATTAACCTTTCTAGAATGACTTCAAATTGTAACATGAAACCGGCATTCATTAATCCTAAATAGCTCTAATTTCATAACATTATACATCTATTTATAATTAAGTTATATTGATCTAGTGCCCTTGTGATTGCCCTTTGAACCATGTCTAACTACTATTTGCACCATTATAAGTTGTAAATCTCTTGGGGAACGTGCAGCTCATGTTAGGCTATCGAATTACATTACCCACAAGCTACTACGAGCTGCTCACAGGCATGCCTCATGAAAAATTTGTATTATATTATTATTATTTATTTTACCTATTCTAATCTTAACTAACCTAAAATGATCCCTATTTGTACATTTTAGTTACTTTTATAATAATAAATAAAGAATGAACATGAAAAACAAGAAATAAATTACTTACCCAATCATCTTTTTTTTCTTTCTGTCGATTGCCAATGACACTGTACCCTACTTTTTTATACTAATGGTAGTAATGTACTACATTTTTATTTAATCAAATAATGCACCAAAGAACATAGACTAATAACATGCAAAAAGAAGACAAATTCTAACTGTGCGACAAGAGCCGTTACAAATTCATTCAAGCTAGTTGTTAACTTTCCCACGGGAACGATGTTGGTACTCTTAGTAAAATTTACATCTAACTTTTCAGAACATAATGTTATACAATACATCATTGGATAGATGAAAACTTT